CCTTGGCAGGAAATGAGGATGGAAAGCAGCTTACGCCAAACTAACGAACAGCTCATTGACATACAAACCCAGATGAGCTGCAAATAAATCAGAGCCAACGGAAAGTTTTTTCCACTCTTTAAAAATGGCCTCATTGTTTCATAGGGTAACTACTTGATTTAGTTGAAAAGCCTAATGTTTAAATTCAATTTTAACTTTCATTCCAGGAAAGCGTGGCTGTCAGCTTTTTCTGGTCATTCGTTCCTTGGTCGGCGGCTTAATTTGTGCGGCGAGTGCTTTTGACGTGGTCGTAATTACAAAAATTTCGGTGCGTTCCCTGAACGGACTCCGTCAAGTCGATGACACGCCCCGCACTCGGAACCTCGAGGGTTTTTAGTGGAATGTGAGGAAGGGGATTCGGGAGCTGGGGAAGTATTTTTGCATTTGATGCCAGGACCCGCGGGCAAAAAGATGATGATGTGGCTGTGGAAGAGCGGATGGCCAATGCAGCTAACCATAAATAGCGGTTATCGGAAATGGGGAATCGTTCTAAGCCCCTCCCACTTCCCCTTCCCCTTTCCCTCCCCCTTCCCCACCCTTTTTTCGCTTTTCGCTTTCCGCTTCTCCCCTCGGAATCGTGCACCACATACAAATGTGGCGCATTTATTTTAATCCTTGGCCAGGAAGGACAAGCCCGGCACAGGATGCGGTGCTCGGGGACCACGAGGCGTATTAGTAATCGGAGAGGGTGGGCCTGCCGGAGTGCCGGAGCCAGAAGCGCCTGGGGAGCAACAAAGTTGCGGATTCATAACTCTTTCATTTGGCCATATCTGCAGATTTTTTCCAGGCTGAATCCCCGAATCCCGCCCCCGCCCCCCGCCACCGAAGCCTGGCCCCGTAAAAAGCGCGCCGAGATTGGCATTTGGTTTCGTTGCCAATATCCTTCGCGTTCTTCCGCCCTCGTGGCCCTCGGACCATCCATTCGGTTCATGGCTTGCTCTTGCCAAGGCATTCATCAAATTCAAGTCATGTTATCGCAGAAAATGAAACAAATTTTTGCAATTTGATTGCTTTTCGTGTTGATGGCGTGAGCACAGGACACTGAGAGAAATGTGGGGCAGTGGGGTTATTCAAAGTGGAGGCAGAAGTGCCTCCTTCCCTTGCCATTAAGCAACTCAAATTAAAATATGTATTCAATGTGCGGTATTCATGTTTGCTGGTTGCTGTGTCCTAACCAAGTGCCTTTCACAAAACCCCACAGGAATGAAATGAACTGGTTTTTAGGTGTACGCTGGGTGGACTCAGTACATCAGAGGAGCATATTAAATATGCATGCCTACGCGATGGGTCGAGATTTCCATGAGCCATGAACTCCTGCTAATGCGAAATTCTTTATATTTTTTACGTGCCTAAGAACCAAAGGAGCGCGCCATTCGATTGGCTTCGTGGCAGCAGGAAAGGATGCTCGATGCTCCCAGCACCTCAATCATTTTACATGTGAGGCAACCCCGTGGTCGCAGCCGTATATCACTGCCCCAGGATACGGGCCGGGTTGCTCCCGTTGTTTATTCCAAAAGTTAATTTCGCACTTTATCATCGACGCAGACGAACAGACGAACAGACGCTCAGTGGGCGGCGTGTGGGAAATGAAACTTTACAGCGGAAGCGGAAGCTGTACGCTCCTCCTCCTCCTCCTCCGATTGCAGATCCCCTGGCCAACTTGGTGTGAATAAAGTAAAACAAATGAAAGGGCTTCCCCCTCAGCACTCCACACTCTTTTCCGCTGGCGCTTTTCTTTGGCAACAATTGCATTGCGGTAAACAATATTTCTGTTATCGCACGCCAGGGTGGCGTACTTTACAGCTCCGTTTCCGTGCCCATTTTTATTGTTGGCTGAAAGGCAGCCAAGTGTTCAATGCACAACTTTTAGCGCAATTGTTAAAAGAATTAAAAGACAGCGGCGGCAGAGGACTGGGTAAAACAAAAGCCAGATATGATAACAGCCAGAGGACCAGAGGACCGGAGGACCGGAGAACCGGAGGACCGGAACCGGAAGGGAGCTGCCATAGACTCCGGTTAGAGTGGAACATGCGAGAGAAATGTGCCGTGACGTGGCAAATGTAATGGAAAATGGTCACAGGATCCAGCTCCCCTTTTCCCCTTCCCGATCCCAGCTCCTCCTGCCGGCCAACTATTTTTATGCAGCCTGGCAATGCGAGGCGCGCCGTAGAAACAACGACACCATTCTTGGCTCTCGAGCTATTTATATGTTTATTCTCCCCGGGCTCCGGCAATGATTTTGGTGCCAAGTGCGTAACTGCCTGCCTGGAACTGGGTTTTTCCATTGCTGCGGAGGGGTGTGGAAGCCCCGACTAACAAGAGACGTTTATTGCCATAAAAGTTTACGACAAAAACTCATTTCCGTCACCAAAGCAAAGCGATAAATGTGAGGGGAATCCACAGCGAGTGCACGGAGAAAAAAGAACACGTGGTTGTCTTGACTTTGTTATGAAATGTGTTGTGTAACCATTCCACAAAGTGTTAACTGGTTTCCTCACCCTGCTGTGGAGATGTTCTTTGAGAATGAATTTGGAAGGAGGATCCTCCTCTTTTCTTTCTTTAAAATTCTACGATTAGCTATATTCAAGGCCTATTTTTTGTTATCTGTAAGGCGTCAATTGTGCAATGAATCTAGGTGGGGACTCTTGGCTCCCAGCTACACATGTCGCCGAAGAAGCATCCGGAGCGGAAGTGGAGCACTCTGCAGGAGCGGATGAGCCGCAACTTGAGCCATTTGTAAGCTGGTGGCACTTGGCACTCGACACTTGGCTCCGGGTGGCCATGCAAATGGGGCATCGGCTCATATAAAATGCTGAAATAATAATAACAATAATTTGGTTGACTTTAGCCGGCGAAGACGCTGACAAGCAATTTAATTATGCAGATAGTCTTGCCGGGAATTACCTGGCCGGCAGCTGGAAAAGCAGTCGGAGCGAAGCGGGAGCCATTGCTCATTAGTGTCAATCTATTTAGCATAAATTTCAATTGAAGCGATATTCTGTAGCCAGGACACGACGATGAAGCCGACTTAGGACACTTTCGAAGGAAAACACGGCCAGGGAAAGGAGTTCGGAGGCAAACAAGCGAGGCGAAGGATGCTGAGTTATGGCGCCCGCTGTTGTCATCACCGCCCTTTTTTTCCGGCCCCCAGTTTTCCACGCCGGCGTCTCATATTTCAGGCGAACTCATTAAAATGCAAAATGAGCGTAGAGCAACGTATATTGGAAAACTTACAGGGAAAGGTTCGCGCTGCGGCTGTTGGCTTTAATCTCTGACCAAGGCAACCCCGACTCACAAACACAAAATACAAAACTAAGATCCCGGCCAAAAAAAGTGTTCTTCTCGCGGACAGTTGGCCATTTTTTGGATGGGAACTAAAAGGAAGAGGGAAGTCGCTCCCTTTGGAAAAGGAAAAAGATGTTCATGAAACATTGGCCAAACCAGAAACGCTTTCCAAGAGGCTTTAATGGTAATTTGTACATCCATCCATCCCGCTGGAGGGAAGGGGGAGTCGCCCGGACTGCTTCAGACTCGCAGCCTTCCGTTATGAGGTTGTTGCAATATCTCCGCAGAGCTTACGTGCCACAAACCCAGCCAAACGAACGCACACACTTGCACGCACTCAGGATTCCAGAAAGGAGCGCTTAGGAACTGACAGTTTTGTAAATACGAGTATGTGTGCAGAGGTTCGCCATGGCCTCGCAGTTGTCCTGGAGGAAGGACTCCCCAGCAGGCGGAAGGAAACAGTTAATACTTCTGTCTGTTATGCGCTTACTTCCTGTCTCCATTAAAAGTCATTCTTTTGGATAATCCTTTTGGCAACATTATGGCAAGTATTAAAACTTTTTGCACTAGCCAGGGAGCACCGTCATCCCTTCCCCGCTCCCCTCAGTTTCCCTCAGCTCCCCGCCAGCCGAGCCGAGGTCTTATTACCTAGAAAAAGTTTGCAGATTCTTCTGCTGTTGTGGCCAGGACTTGGATTTGTTGTGCTCTGTTCTGTTCTGTTCGGTTGTGTGTTCTGTGTTCTTTTCGGTGGGACTTTCGGGGGCAGCGGAGGAGGCTCCAGCTGGATTCGGTCTGGTCGGTCTGGTTGGGCTGGTTTCCTGGCCAGCTGCAGGGCATTCCTTCCATAGGTGGCCCCGTTTCAGCCGCAACCTCCGCATGATAACCATAAATATTTCGTGTAATAGAAAATGTTTGCAAGCGCTTGTCCGTGGCCACTTTTTTTCTCTGCTCACTTCTTGGCTTTTGCTTGATTACGCGAAGCGAATTCCTGGCGAAGTTTTAATCGAAAAAGAGAATGCGCTGGTGAATGGCCGGGTATTCGATTCCGGAATAGTTGGCCTAATCCACGTGAGCATTTATCATCATCAGCAGTTGACTGGCGGCGTATTGGATGTTTGGATTTCGCCGACTCCGCAAATAAAGATTAACGGTTGGAGGTAGCAGGGCTCACCTTCTTCCGGCTTCGGGAGGGAATTATTCAAATTTCGACAAAAGGTAGAGGGGCTAAAACACGAAACGTGTTCGGCATGCAGAAAATCCTTTGAGCAAACACAGGGCAAAGGCTAAAATGACACCAGCGGCCATGTTGCGTCCCAGCCATTAAAAGTACGCTTCGGTGGGTGCTGAATGCTGCCTTTATGTAAATCCGCCAAACGATGATGGCTGGAAGGCCTTTGCTGCCGCCTTGTTGCGTGAAAAATTGACACCTCATCGCTTTTCAATGAAGCAGCTGAACCCACGGGGACTTCTCAAATTGGGTATACTTCTCATTGAGTCAATCCAATGAACATGTAGGGGTATTCATTCTGTTCCGCTTTCTGGTCAATTGTGTATCGAATGAAGTAGAATTCACGGGGCGATCAGCTGACCGAGCTTTTCCGCACAGCTGGTCGCCGTTTTCCATCCGACGCACTCGATCTCCAAGCGAGCAGAAAAGCTCCCCAGTTGCCCTGGAATCGTCAGAACGAGTGCTCGCAGGAAAATCGAAATAGCTGGCCCGAATGTTCGGCGAAAATTCCAGAGCAGCAGGCATGTGGCACCGCATAGTTCTGCTCTGCTGCGTATGGAGTGCATTTTTCGTGTGCCACAGCCAGGGGCAACAAATCAACATTGGTGAGACGTGGTCAGTGGTGGAGGAGAAGCTGTTTGGCTGAACTGTTTGCTCCCTTTTCCCCGCTGCAGGCGCCTTCTTCTACGACGACGAGCTGCAGCTGGAGAAGGAGTTCGTGGAGGCGGTCAACGCCATCAACGGCCCGGAATCGGAGCAAACCCCGAGTTTCTACCCCCTGATTAAGCGCCTGAAGCCCGAGGACGGCAGTGTGGAAGTGCAGGAGCAGGGTGAGCCGATCACTCTTTAACTGCTTGAGGCGACGAAGAACCTGACGAATTCGATTCTCGATTTTCCCGTTCAGCTTGCAATCTTATAGATAATGGTGTCGCGGCTATTTTCGGACCAAGTTCAAAGGCGGCGAGCGGTAAGAGGGGTGCGGTACGAGGGGAATCTTGTGTAGAAGAGGGAAACAAAGTGGAACAAGAAAGATCGCGCCGACGAATTCGGGGCAAAGCGAATAGCGGAAGAGTTCGGCAAGTTCAGCCGGATTTGTTTGTCAACAGAGCGGATAAGCGATCTCCCCTCTGCGCAGAATCACTCTACGATCTCTCTCGCTTTCAGACATCGTAGCTCTGGTCTGCAACAGCACCGGCGTCCCGCACATCGAGTTCGACCTCTCGGACGAGCAGCAGCCGGAGGAGCGGCCCAACCACCAGCAGTCCCTGAACCTCTACCCCTCCCAGGTGATCCTCTCCAAAGCCTACGCGGACATCGTGCAGAACTTCGGCTGGCGCAAGTTCACGATAGTCTACGATGCGGATGATGGTGAGTTGCAGTAATGCATATTATATTAATGTGCCATGACATTGTTGGGTGCTCAATTGTTCGGCAACAGCCAAGGCGTCGGGTCGCCTGCAGGACCTTCTGCAGCTGCGGGAGGTCCACAACGACATAGTCAGGGTGCGGAGGTTTCAGAGGGACGACGACTTCCGGGTCATGTGGAAGAGCATCAGGGGCGAGAGACGAGTGGTCCTGGACTGCGCCCCCGACATGCTGGTCGATCTGCTCAACTCCTCCTCGGAGTTCGGCCTGACCGGGCAGTTCAATGTGAGTTTCCTGCTTGTACTTGTATCTTAACAACTTGACTCAACCTAAAATCAGCACATTTTTCTCACGAACTTGGAGACCTACGCGCACAATCTAGAGGAGCTCTCTGCGGACAACGAAACCTTCGCCGTGAACATCACGGCAACCCGCCTTTTTCTCAACCCCGATCTGCCAGAGGTTAGTGACTCACTCCCCCAAAGGAGGTTTTCTCACGAGTATCTAGTACTTGCAGTTCCCCCAGGACGACGGCAGCGAAGCACGCACCCTGCTCCACGACCTGATCCACGATGCAGTGAATCTGTTCGCGCAGTCCTGGCGGAATGCCAGCTTCTTCTACCCGGACAGGATGGTCGTGCCGAGGATAGCCTGCGACTTTGTCCCCTCCGGAGGTCGTCCCTGGGTCATGGGTCGCTACCTGGCGCGCCAGATGAAAGGGGTAAGGGATCCGACGGCTGGTTAGCCGATGACTGGGAGCCCGTTAATGTCCGAGGTGCGTTGCAGATCTCCGGCGTGGACAGCACGAGCTTCCGGACCAGCAGCCTGAGCTTCGACGAGGACGGGCAGCGGATTGCGTTCCAGCTCGAGCTGTACGACCCCCTGGACGGCATCGGCATAGCCGTCTGGGACCCGAGGGGCCAGGTGACGCAGCTCAACGTGGACGTGAAGGCGCAGAAGAAGATCATCTACCGGGTGGCCACCAGGACCGGTCCGCCGTACTTCATGGTCAACGAGACCGCGCAGGAGCTGAACCTCACGGGCAACGCCTTGTACAAGGGCTACGCGGTGGACCTCATCGACGCCATCGCCAAGGAGGTTGGGTTCGAGTACGTATTCGTTCCGGTCGCGGATAACCAGTACGGGAAGCAGGACAAGGACACGAAGCAGTGGAACGGCATCATCGGCGAGATCGTCAACAATGTATGTAGTCTGCAATTTGCCATCTGCTTTCTGACATTTGCCATTTGGCATCTCCCATCTGCAGGACGCCCACATGGGAATCTGCGACCTGACCATCACCCAGGCCCGCAAGACCGCGGTGGACTTCACGGTGCCCTTCATGCAGCTGGGCGTCAGCATCCTGGCCTACAACAAGCCCCACACGGAGAAGGACTTCGCGGCGTACCTGCAGCCCTTCGCGTACGAGGTCTGGCTGTGGATCCTCATTGCCATTTTCGTGGTGACCTTCCTGAAGACGATTGTGGCGCGGATCTCGAAGATGGACTGGGAGAACCCGCACCCGTGCAACCGCGACCCCGAGGTGCTCGAGAACCAGTGGCACATCCACAACACCGGCTGGCTGACGGTGGCCTCCATCATGACGGCCGGGTGCGACATCCTGCCGAGGAGTCCCCAGGTAGGATTGCACTTCCACTAGGGCCAAGAACCACTGGGACTCACAAGGGTTCCCCATCTCAGGTGCGCATGTTCGAGGCCACGTGGTGGATCTTCGCCATCATCATCGCCAACTCGTACACCGCCAACCTGGCGGCCTTCCTGACCAGCTCCAAGATGGGGGCAGCATCTCCAGCCTGAAGGACCTGAGTGCCCAAAAGAAGATCAAGTTCGGCACCATCTACGGCGGCAGCACGTACAACCTGCTGGCCGAGTCGAACGAGACCGTCTACCGCCTGGCCTTCAACCTGATGAACAACGACGACCCCTCGCCCTACACGAAGGACAACCCCGAGGGAGTGGAGCGGGTGCGCAAGATCCAGGGCAACTACATGTTCCTGATGGAGACCACCACCCTGGAGTACTACCGCGAGCAGCACTGCGACCTGCGCTCCATCGGGGAGAAGTTCGGGGAGAAGCACTACGCGATCGCCGTGCCCTTTGGGGCCGAGTACCGGTCCAACCTGAGCGTGGCCATCCTGCGGCTGAGCGAGAAGGGTCGCCTCTACGACCTCAAGAGGAGGTGGTGGCAGAACGAGGACGCCAACTGCTACCAGGAGCCCGACTCGGACGAAACCCCGGACATGAACTTCGAGGAGCTGCGCGGCATCTTCTACACGCTCTACGCGGGCATCCTGATCGCCTTCCTCATCGGCATCGCCGAGTTCCTGGTCTACGTTCAGCAGGTGGCTCTGGAGGAGCGGGTGAGCCTCGTCCAGCCACAGGATCCGCTACTTTCGTTGCTCTAAAACATGTTGTATTCGCATCCACAGCTCACCTTCAAGGCCGCCTTCAAGAAGGAGATCCTGTTCGTGCTCCGTGTGTGGGTCAACAAGAAGCCCATTGTGGCCGGGACCCCGGTTTCCAGCCTCAGGACCACGCCCCGCAGGTCCCTGGACAAGTCCTCGGAACGAACCCCCAAGTCGAGTCGTCGCATCGTCATCGGGCGCTCCTCGGAGGAGATGCGGGAAATGCCGCAGGGATCCGGAGCTGGGTCCTCCTCGCACTCCGACAGCACGAAGGCGGAGCAGCAGGAGGAGCGGCTTTAAGCAGTCTGATTGCCAGCTATTGTTAATGAGTTTTCAGTTGGTTTCAGGGGCAGAAGTTGCTGCATTCAATACAACCAGATTCGAACATAATCGACTTGGGGCTCCTTTAAGCTTGAAATTACTTGGCGGGCTCTCTTATTCCTCGATCCCGCGGGCAACACGAGATTCCGACGCTGGAAGTTAGTGCATGCCTCGCTGGCCACGGCATTAACCCTTGCTCCACCTTCACGTTTCCGTTTATTGTTGCCGCAGTTGGGCTCCCGGCAAGGAGGCTGTCCCAGCTCGTCAATTGCGTTATTGGAGCTTATTGACATTTTATATCCGCCGACTGACGAGCCGCGCTCCCCATCGCGAAAATTATTTAAGCAGCTGCAGGCGAGTTGGGCGGGAAACATGGGCAACAGCGGGGCGCCAGGACCAAGTAGTAAGGAGCAAGGAGCAAGGAGCAAGGAGCAGGGAGCAAGGACCAAGGAAACGTGGCTCCTGCTGGGCAGATTGGCGAGTTCGTGTTGGGTCGCCTTTGGCCTTTGTTGGTTTGTGTAAAATGAGCAGCAATGACAACGGCAGCGACAGTTCCAGCAGCCAAAAACAACAACGAGGGTTGTCAACTGACAATATAGAGTGCCATGCACTGGAAACCTTTCTGTGGCCCAATGTTTGTAACTTAAGTTGAAGGTTATCATTTAAAAACATTTGAATGGATGCCTTTTCAATAATCAAAGCTAATCTATCGAGCCCAATTACAAATACTTTGTGTAATCTCTACGACTTAAATCAGAACCACAGTAAGTTGTTGGTTGGTGTTGCTTGGGTAAGTTTCATTTCGCGCAGTGTACTGGTAGATGGAGGGCCGCTCCCCTGCAGATCGCATTGCATTCCATTCCATTCCGTGGCGAGTGTCATTTGCTAGCTGTTTGTTTGTCTGCTCCGCAGTTCTGTGTGTTCAATTTTTAATTATTTTGTAGTGAAGTGGCTCCAGCTTCGCCTGCTGCTGGGCAACGTGAGCCGTTCGAGTAGTTGTCAACTGGAGGAGGAAGGTGGAGGAGGATGAGGAGGAGGAGGAGGAGGTTGCCATCAGGAAGAGTCTCCAAAAATGCGCTGAATCTCGCGGGCTGTTCGGCAAACTCAACACACTTGTTGCGGCCGCGTCTGATTGCCAGCATGCGCAGTGGCGCTTTCAAAGGCCGAATCCACCACCGATGGCCAATGGCTGAGTCGGCGGCCACAGAGCGACAAGTTCCACAGCTTCCAAAAGGGGGCAGGACGCACCCCCGAAGACGAAGGCCGAAGGACGAAGGACGAGGGACGAGTCTTATACGGACGAGGCGGTTGTCATTTGTTAATGCCACGCACGGAAGCAATTTCCACACGAAAGCGCATTCCTTGAGCCTTTAATGTACTTTTTGATGTTAACAAATTTTTCGAACATTTGTTGTTGACTGAGGAAACGGGAGGCGGCAGCTTCATGAACTGAATCCTAAGTTGGGCCACAGTTGATCTGCGGCTTTTGGTTCTGGTGTGAGTGATTAGAGTCACATAAACAAATTAATAAGTGGGCGACTCTTCCGACCTCCGACTTCCGCTTGCTGCGCCGGCGAATCCAATCAGGCGGCAAATTTCGAGTGCAATCAACACCTCGCCACAGTTATAAATCGAGCAATTTTCCAGTTCGGAAGATTTATGAGCCGCCGTCGCAGTGTAAATTGTGGCCAGAAGGAAGTCGAACAAGCTGCCAAGTCTATGGGCCAATAGCTCGACCCTTTAGCCATCTGACAGGCAATCCGAGCTAGCAGACAGGCGGACTGGCGGACAGGCGGACAGGCGGACGGACCCACGTGTGGACTTCATGGGCTTCACTGCACTTCGGCACTCACTTGCTGCGGCCGCAATTTCTTGAGCAAATTGAAATTCTTGTGGCCGTTTCCGTTTCCCGGGGACGAGCCCTATTAGCTGGTATAAATCTTGCCGGCTATCTGGGCAATCGGGCTAGCTTGCTTGTATGGGAAAATTTTTAATTAACAGCTAGTGGTGCAGGAAGCAGGGCAATGAATCCCGCCAGACATTGTGTGGCAATTGCGCTTTACTTTGGACTTCAGAAGGGACACCATACGTGCCTTAAACCACCTCTGAATGTTGCCTGTTGCAAACAACATTGTGGAAACAATGAAGGCCCTTCCAATGCCGAACAAACTAATACCACTGTTTTCTTTTGGTCGCTTGTTTTCTTACTTGCAAATATAACGTGCGATAGTGATTTCTAGGCAGAGTGGAAAAGTATATGGGTCAAATGGTGCCTCCCACCGGAACCTCCTTTCGAGGCAGTGTGCACAGTGAGTGTGCTGGGGGCAGCTCCTGCCTGCAGTGGCCGAGGATTTGTTTGTTTATTTGCCTGCCACAATGCACTTGACTGCAAGCTGGCATCTTGGCGTCCGGAAGGCCCTGGCTTGTCTGTTTTCCCTGTTTGTTTTTGCGCCAAGTGGCCAGCAGTTGTGTGTCTCTCGGGCCGTGTTTGGTGGACAAATAAAACGCAGTTATGCAAATGACGGAGTCCCTCCCTCGAGGGAGGACCTCTGCCCTGCACACTGCTCATAAATTCAGGCACTTGCCGCCGAATTCAATTTTCCGCGCAATTGAAGGGCTCACATTACTCAGGGCGGAGTTCGCGCACGATCGCTGGCTGCACACATTTAAAAAGAAAAACAATTGCCAATAACCATTGCAATTTTTCGCCGGAGGGGCAAAGACAACGAAACGTTCAAAAGCAAATAAATGCAGACACGAGCTGGAAGTTGGGAGCAGAGAACAAACAGCAGCGAACCGCAAGACGGAAACGGAAACGCGTCACACAATGTCGAGCTCGCACTCGTCCTGCAGGGAGAACCTACCTCCCCTTCCCTTCCCTACCCCCTCCTGCCGCCCTTTATTTGCCATTAGATATTTATTTCTGCGGATGTTTGCTGTGTCTGTGTTGCCTGTGTGAGAGCGCGCACATATTTGCACATGTTTCGCATTTGTATTCCATGCGTTATTGAGCTGAAAATTGATGCACATTACTTACTCTATTGAATTACACATTAGCCCCGACTCGACTGGCGGGGCAACTGTAAGTGCACCGGAAAAAACATCGATCCTCTTGTAGCCTTGACACAATTACTCAACACCCCGAATCCACTAAGGAAATAGTATATCGAGATATCTAGTCAAGTGCCTTAAGACGACGTTGTGCTTTTCACAGCAATCTTTTGGGAACTTTCCAAATGCGAAACTTCAGATGAAAGGTATTTCTGTCTGAGGATTACTGTGATCTTCGAAAATACATCAAAAGCGCTCACAGGGAAGCCTGTTAGTTTCTCTTCGTGCAGACTTTCAGTCGGAACTAAATTCCTGATGCTTTGGCCGCATCTTTGCTCCGCTCGTTGGCCAATAAATAATTTAAAAATAACAAAATAACAAACTGAAACAAAGGACATGCCGCCAAAGTGCGCCAGAGCAAAATCAACGTCCTCCCGGCGATGCAACCATCGATAGACCCCGTTTTCCACCCCTCCGCATCTTGCATTGAATTATGCATGTGGGTAAGTATGTGACCACCACCCCCTGCGAAGGGACCATAAATTGTACAACTAAATACAATTTATTTCTCGTCGTCGCTGGTGACCCGTGTGTTTTATACGAACCCCACCCCTTTCCTTCCCCCTCCCCTCCTCCCTTGATCCCACTGGGTTATTTATGCGCTGCTCTCCGAGTTTTTCCTTGCCCATGCAGTTGTTTTTCCTCCGACTCCAGTACTACGTCTTCGATACAATATTTATGTGGTTTAAAATAGTTTTGGAAGTAGTGTGTGATACTTGATAGCGTTTTTAAATCACCTCGCGGAGTACCTCGGGAGGGACCAAGGCTTCAGTGACGTGATTTCTTATTTGAAAGTTAACAAAAAGATTTTCAAAGTTCCCATGAGCCCAAAGCCTTAAACATCTTCCGTTGGAAATTAATTTGCAACTTTCAATGGGAATTGTAACATGTTAATTTTGTAACATCTATGTTAGTTTTGAAATTTATGTAAAGCGTACACCCATGCACTGTAAGCACCAAAAATTTTACCCGTTTCGGCATTCAAAGTGTTCTACTGTTAGCGCAGTCCCCTCAATGTAATCAACATATAACAGAGGTCTGCAGTTAACATACTGGTAATGTCTAACAGAGGTCTGTTACAATCTGTTATATTCAGACTGGGGTGGAAAATGAGAGCTACAGTTTATGGCAAGCGAACCCCTTCTGTTAGTCAACAGCAAATGTTGACAGAGAATGTTCTGACTTCAGTAAATGATTTGTTTACAAGAATATTTAAACATTTTGTGGTATATTTATTTTTGGGAGAGCACCAAGAATGTTAAAGTGTGCATACATAATTTTCAAATTCACTTTTGGGTTCTACATGCAGGACTTGAACGTATTGTTCTTCCTCCCAGAAGTCATTCCAAATCCTTAAATAATATTCTGGTGAGATTTAACCTTGTGCATTTTACCTATTTCAACTGCTCTTGTCGCTCGTTTTCGCCGAGTAATTAAACTCTGACTGGCTAACAGAAAACTGTTGCATTCGTCGTGCCAGCCACTCGAAAAGTAACCATTAACTGCGACTGGCAACAACTCAATCGCACTGGCCCGAAGTCCTGCCAGAGTCCTTCTGCGTCCTGTGAAAACTCACCACTTGGCGGTCGGAGCTCCTCGCGTATATAACAACGAGTGCGCCAACTGGCTGACTCCAGTCTTCGTTTTGCCTCCGAGTCGTGCGGTCAGCAGCTGAACCCCGACACTAGACCTGGCCAACAAAATAAGGCAAGAGCTGCCTCGGCCGCGATGTGGCTCAAGTCACTCTAACTCCGATTCGAGCAGAGCTCCAGAGACACAGCTGCGGGAAAGCAAAGGACACCGGTGGGTCACGGTTTCAGTCCGCACGGAGTCGGCTTAAAGTAGGGCTCTTAAAGCTACGGAATTCGTGCGCTCGTTTCCGTTTTTGTTTTCGTGTCGCCGCGTGTGTGTGTATGTGCCAGTGTGTGGGTGAGTGTGTCGCTGTGTGCGTGCCATTGTCGCCGCTCTCCGGGCGAAATCGGGATACATTTCCGTAGTCGTAGCCGTAGCCGTAGCCGTTGCCGTACTGCTGCAGAAGTAGCAGCTCGAGTGACACACACAGCAGGCAAGTGGAAAACCCGCAGAACCCGATAAACCCTCGGAAAAACCAAGAAAACGCCAAGATGGAAGGGCGGGGAAAGTGCGGGCGGGCGGACGATTTCTGCGGTCGCAGCTTTTGACTTTCTGCGGCATGAAGTGCATTTCGTGCACTGTCTCCCGCTGCAAGTCAGTGTGCTACTCCCACTTGTTTGCAACTTTCCCCGACTTTTCATGTTTTTCTTCATTCAGAGCTGCAGCAATGTGTGCTTACTAGCTCTCCATCTCTCGAGTTTATCCGCCTCGAAAATTGCGACAGCTTTAATGTTTCCTTCTGTGAGCCTTGCGAGCTCCAGTATTTTGTCTCCTTTCCCAGTTTTCTTGTAACAGTCTCATCTTCTACGATACACAGCCTTCCATAGCGCTGCTTAAAAGCTAACTTGACAATCGCATTTGAGCAGACCTCACTAAACGTATTTTATTTTTGAAATTCCGAGAAACCGCTCTTTTCACTTGCTTTATTTTAAACCTTTCAATATACGCACATAAACAGGAGTGCGCTCCATGGAAAATATTTCCATCACGCTTCAAGTGTGCGCCGGTTTAGGGAATTTCCCATGCAAATGCCTCACAATTGAAATTAGGTTTACTGCCTTCCTGCCCGCGAATCCCTGAAATGGTGAAATGGGTTAAGGTTAACAAAAAACAGTGGACGGGGTCGGATTGTGTTATTGTTTTGCCAGGCTTTCTAGGCGGCACTCTGAGCCAACTTCCGTTTTGATTGCTTATGCCAGATGAGCGGATCTGAGGTCTGCCATATGCGCGAGCCGCGAAACTTTTGAATTTCTAAGTGGCAACTCGTGTTGCCCCGCATCCTGACCCAAAGTCAGCCAGAGAGAAAGCTAAATACAGGCAAAACTTTTTACAACGGCTTTGCTACTTGGCCAGTCAATTTTGTTTACTCATTTTAATACTTAAAAATGTATTTGGATTTATTTGTAAATAAAATCAGTAATGAAGGGAAGTGTTCCCAATATTTTTATTACGAGCTTGGATGAAAATGGTTGTTCGATGTTGAATCACAAAGTTTTCAAGTTGTCGCCCATCTTCTGATTTGAGCAATTATGTGAGTGTGCGGACACTGTTGAAATGCAAATTAGTTTGCTGGCAATAAATAAAGTGAAGTGAATAAGTGCGGCTGCAGAGGAATTACTGTGTGGGTTTGGCTTTTGGGTTGAGGAATTCAATTAGCTGGACTCCCTCCTTTTGTGAAGTGCAAAGTTTTTGCTTAGAAACTCCCAGCAAACTTTTTTGGTCTGAAAATTCCCATAAATAAATTATTTTTGTGTAATTCGTTTTAGAAATAATTAAGCAAAAGCTTGGCCAACTGAGAGACTATGGGAAAAAAAAATCTAAATCCATTTTGCGGCCATTAGCTCATCTATTTCTGTCTGAGATTAAAATGTAATGAGATTGTGGTTTTAAAATCCTGATTTACAAATCGAGTCTTAGTAATTTTAAATTCTGTGACAAAAACTTCAAGCAATTTTGATTACTCCCAAAACCTAATCCAATCGCAAAGCATTCCTCTGCGGCCAAAAGCAATCTTAATTTAAGCTTTCGTTTCGGGTTGTTCAGAGCTGGAAATGCTTTCATTGGATTTACTCGAATTTCTCCCCAGCTTCAGCTCAAGCAGCTAATGTGGCTCAATTAGTAGAATAATTTCGAATTTAAGTGCAACATTTGCTGGGGCTTTCCATCGATTTCTGCTCTGGTTTCAATTTGCGCACGAAAATACGGCTGGGATTGTTAAATGTGGAGGCGGCAAGTTCAATAGAACTTTCGATTTTGGAACAGTTTACGGACCAGTTGGGAGGAAGCAGGAATTGCAAGTAGGGAGCATCGTCAGCTCATTCGAAGTTGCTTGGTGGTAGTAAAAGAGCAACTTTGTCTGCAGCTGCAGTAAATATGCAAACTCCTGCTCCTGCTCCTTCTAACCTTGGCAGTTTCCCAGTACCAGTGTGGTTATACTCTCGCCCTTATCCCCACGAGCACTTGCACTGGGGAAAAAGGATCCAACTCCAATATACGCACCAAAAGCCAGTCAGATTGCATCTATCTTAAACACGTTTAACAATGCAACTTGCTCGAACTGGCATATTAATACGTTCTTCTATACAAAACTATTTCCCCGGTATTCTAGATAGAAAGATAGGTAGGCAGATAGCTTGATTTCTACTTTCCAACCAGAGAGTGTTTTAGGTAAAGGCAGATGACCATTTTTGCTGAGATCAGGCTGGTTTCTCTTTGTGCAGCCTCGTTTTCGGTGGCACGAGAGGGGCAGCAGCTACAGCAGCTGTTGTTCTTGCCCAACTTTCCGTTCACACACGCCCAGACACCCGTTTTAACCCTTTCCTGACCATCAGGCACCCGCATCGCCCGAGTTTCAAGTGTGCTCGGGATCTGCGCGTTATGCAAAACTAACTTTTTCCATTATTTTCTGTGTGCTCCCGCCGCTGCTGCCACTGCTGCTGCTGCTGCTTTGCTTCTGGTGCTGCTTGTGGTTTTTATTTATGGTCTATTTTTGTTTTCATTTTTTTTGGTTAGTTACCCCAGGCCCCGCCATGTAAATAAAAGCCAACTGCAAAGTTTTGACAACGCTTCTCTGGGCTGCGCAGCAGCCGATGCCGCCTCCGAAAATTGGGTCGGCAAAAGCGAAATTTATGTCGCAGCCGCGTGCAAAGTGACAGCGAACAAATTGCCGCGACGCAGACACTGAAACACAGGCAACACGGCCAACACACACACACACACATACACACAGATCCACATTGTGCACAACAAGCCATGTAAAACGCTAGCGAAAGTTTCCAAGCCGAGTGCTAATCAAGAGACAAGCAAAGGGGAACGAACAGAGCCGGAAAATCGGGGCTCGAGTGCAGCTAATTTTTCGGATTTCCTTGGGATGCACTCCCGAAAATCTCCTCCGAAATGCGGCCGAAATTTCGCAAAAGTTTTTAAAGCAACTTTGAATTATTGATAAAATACTAGAACAGTACGGGAGTGTGTGAGAGATTTTCAGAGTTCACCCCGCAGACACTTTTAGCATACACTGGGCAAACTTATTTCCAACTCGCATGCACACAACTTATTTGATGCACTTCACTTCGTTCCTAGAGACAAATCCTGGGACTGCAACTGGGGAGCAGGGAACAAGGCAGCGAGACGACATTGATAAATGTTATTTTGGCAACTTTTTTGGTTGGGAGCGAGCAAACAAAGGGGAAGCTCCAACCCACAACACAGAAATGCAATCAAACGAGAAAAGCAAATACAGGAGCTCTCCGAGAACCAGATCCAAATCAAAATGCTTTTATTCGACACAAATGGGAACTCCTTAAAGGTCATAAAGGCGGGAAAATCTGAAATAGTTTGCACCGGAGTAAATCAGCTTTAAATTTCCTAAAATCGAAGAACTTACTCTCGATTATGGTTCAGTTAGGGCTGGTCGACCGACGAAGGTAGTTTATAGCCAATTTAAGTAGCAATCGACCTACTGGTTTTCTTTCTCGGATGCTTATCGTTATAGCAATTAAAAAAACATACTTATACTTTATTACGTAAGATCGCGCGAGTTGCCTCAAAGTAATCAGCTACAATTGTTGACCCCAGAGCCCCGAGACCTAGAAAACGAAATGGAAAATTCAAATTGGAATCCATCTGACGCATTGGCGCCGGCAAAGTTCAGGCTTCTAATTAAATTGGGTGCAGCCCCAACACCAGTTATTAAGAACATATTAAAACGGCTTCACGAGGCAGAGGAGCAGCGGGGCACGAGGAGTTAAGCGCAAGCAGTTACCAGCATTTGTTGCTGTTTGTCGCAAAGTTTGCCCAGCCGCCGCAGAATGAAAGTCCATGGTGCCGAACCCCCTTCCGTTCCTTGTTTGCCCCCAAAACTTTGCCGCCGACTCTCGGCCATTGTGTGCCAGTGTTCTTGGCCAGCTGCAGTCTGCAGATTCCACTCTGTGATTGTCTGAGCGCCGCTCCTTAATTTGCTGGCCAACTTTGTCTAATCAGTGTGCAGCTGCTGGCAGGCTTCCCCCAGATTGCGTATACGCGTCGTTGGCCCCGTTTCCGAAATCTTGCGCTTGAGAAGGAGCAAGTTCACAGAGCTGAAGACCGGCCACTCGAGCCATTGGACTGGCCGAAATTAAATCACGGTCGGGTTACGGCGACACTTTGTATTACTAACTCCATACTTCTAACCTTGTGGTTAATAGCAATCGCGTGGCGTATGTGTGATGTGTGTTATTTCAAGTATTGCTAAGGGTCGGGTCGCCGGAGAAATAACACCGGAGTAAGCTAATAACATTCCACTTCAATGGGGCTGTCTGCCCAGCCATTTGTCGAAATGTCGACCAGCAACCAAACGGAGCAGATGTCAAGCTGTCACAGGACAGACGAACCAGAGGACGAGGACAGGGTGCTCCAAGGGTCGTGTGTCAATGGCTGGCACTCCAGCTGCATTGTGGGAAAAACTGCAGCTGACTCGGTAAAAATTACCGGGGAAAACGAACCGAAAACGTTAATAGAAAAGCAGCCAGGTCGGCAGGAGGGCAGGTTGGCCGGCGGGGAGCCGTGGAAATCACTCAATTGGACGGCTAACTGACAGTCACACATTATCAAATATTAATGGCGGGGAGACGAGGTGGGTCACCGGCTCATTGAAACTGTTTGGGTTGGAGGGGCGAAAGCGAACTTTGACACCAACGCCCCTCAAAGTCACGGGAAAATTCAGGGGCTGCGGGGTCACCCTCAAATTTTCAAATTTTACAACATTTGCCGAACATCTGGTCCAAGGGAAAGGCCCGGTACACATGACTAGCTATAAACGGCAGGCGCCGCGTCACACAAACTGAAAGGCTCATTTATAATTCAGCAAAGTAAAACATTGAAGTAATGAAATTACACCAGAAGAATTTGTCGACGTCGGCCAGACAACATTTGCATGGCAAATGGAAATATGAGCGGGGAATAAATAAAAATTTAATGAAAGCACGTATACGCAGCATGCGCCCGGCTTTGCATGCGTGAGGCAGTTTGACAAAAAATTTGTGTTAGTCAGTCCTCCTGGCGGCCCGGGAAAACGCAAATAATTGAATTTCTGTCAACGAAATTAAATTACGACGGGCCTAAGCGTCCGCCCTTTAAAGCCCTTTAAGTTGCAGCCATAATGCATTTTAAATTGCGCATAATTAAAATAAATGCAACAAATGATTTAAATTTATTATAATGCCAGCAAAAACACTGCAGTCCGACAACAAAGCAGGCCGACAAAGGTGAGCATGCTATGTACGGCGCGAACATATATCCGTCCGTCCGTCCGTCCGACCGTATGCGCCGGGATGAATGGCAGATATATACAATAAAAGTTAATGACAATGCATAAAAGTTCATTACTGCCAGACACACAAACAACGGGTAATTCAACCGACTCGGAATGGGAAAGATATTCCGCAATTGTGCACTGCGAGGAGGCGGGACTGCAAAGATGGGACAATGGGACAATGGGGCGAAGGGACGATGGGACGATGGGGAATCCCGAATCAGACACGTTCAGATGTAATATATAGCCCAGGCCATTACAAAACCACCTTATCTATTTACCCGCCCCGCCGCAGGAGCGGAGGAAAATAATAACAAAACGACAGCCATCAAAGGACACGGCAGTTACACAACAACTGACCACTAATTAACCTAATTTCTAGCCCGGCAATCACAATGAAAAAGCGAGCGTAGGTGGAACCAATCCAATTCCGTCCATACTCAATACCCGGTTATGTCGGACAGATGGGACGATAAACCGCCGACAGAGCCGGCCAAACAAATGGAAACCAATGAGGCCGTTTATTTTTATGTTGATTATTTCGAATTTCCCGTTTTTTCGGTAATTATTTATGCCACCCGCTGGCCGGCTCAGGAAATTATTTCGATATTAATTCAAACAAAACTTTCAATAATCCGTAATTATCGACGAATGTAGATCAAATAATCACGTTTTAGTCGCCGCGCTACAGCAACAACAGAAATTAATTAGGGAAAAACAAAATGGGAATTATTTGCCATGACACGAGGACCTCCGCATCCTGTCCACGCGTTTGTAATTGGCCCGAAATCGCCGGCTGTCATCGGTATAAATTGCACAGTTTTTCCGACGTGCGCTGTTTGTTGTATTATATATAGTTATGCTCTGCAATTAAATATATCCCTTGACTAACTTGGCTATTGATTTTTTCACTTGCAGCCGGCACTCCCGCTCCTGCTACGAGCTGAAGGCGAATACAGCTCGCTGGATCGGCCGGAGCAAACAAAGCCACCCAACACCCATGTGTTGTGTGCCCGAAATAAAATCACATAAAATGCGACCAAATCTGCAGCATGCATTAAACAAGAGCCTGGCAAACAACGAGCTCCTCGCATACATACAATATTCAAACTAAGTGGGCGCCCAAGTCCGGCAATTCATAAGGAAGCTCTGATAAGTCCTGCTCTGGTCCTTCGCACCGGATCCTGGAGAGATGCCGTCGATGGAGCCCTGGCTGGGGGGTGATTCCTGGCTGGGGATGCTGCGGCTCCGGCTGCATAAATCAAAGTGAGTTGCACTGCCCCTATCTTGTTATTTGCTCTTCGGTTCGGTTGGGTTCGGTCCGCTCGGTGAGAAATCAAATTAATTTCAAACTTGTTAGACTTGTCCGGTGGTGCGTTATTCTCCGGTCGAGTTTGGCGCAAGTTTGCCATTAAATTGCCACACGCACAACAAAAGAAGCCCGCAATAATAAAAGTCTCCATTGCGAAGTTATTTCTGTTGCGGCGCTATTTATAATTTTCATCGGAGGAATCCTGACGAGGGTTGCCACTTCGCAGAACGGAATTTAAAACAAGTGACCAGAAAGGTCGATTCGGGGTACCCGAAAATATATCCCCCTCGGAGGGGGCACTTTTGCTACCATCGATTTGCTCCGAGAGCCCGAGAGCGCTTTAATGGAAAGCCCTCTCGGCTGAATGTTATAATTAGGAATGTTTCTGGGGCACATGCGACTCCGGGGAAGTGGCTGTCAAAAATTTCATAAATGAAAAGCCATAAAAGTGCGACCGACCCGAAAAATCAATGCTGCCACAGCTGCGCTCGCCTCGCCCTGTTCTCTAAGCCAGGAGTACATGACCAGCATCAATAAGTTGGCCCGCACACAAGCTTCGGGACAAACAGCTGGTCCTGTTCCTCGAATTCCTGAATTTATTGACACCCACACACACCGTCCATCGATAATCACTGCGGAAACGTGCTACGAGAATCCTGCAGGAGTGGAGAGCTCGAAATGGACGCAGTGCAAATTCGAGGTTAATGCACAAATAAATCTGCCACAAATTGTTAGCCATCAGAAACCACGTCCCTGTTGCAGGCCAAAGGAACCTCTGAGGGAGCTAAGGAGTTCCATGGCATTAAAATAATAATTATTAACGCGTAACTGCGTCGCAATCAACAACATTTTATCTGGCGATGCCAAGCAGTTTCAAACTTTTGCGGCAGAGTTTGCGTCTCACTTTCGGGTTTCGGTTGCCTTCACTTGAGTTTTTGTGTTGTGTCGATATCGTGAGCCTGCTAACTTCCGATTTCCGGCGTGCGCCGTGATTGCGCGCCGCTTATTTCCTGCGGGGCGGCGCCACCGAGGACCACAAGGACACTCCCAGTCCTCCTGCCTGCGAGCGCCGCCTTGACTTCTGATAAACTTATTATACACTCTTTAAAGGCGGGCTGCTCAGGGATGGGCCAATGGGTTGGTTTTCCATAAAAAGTAGTAAAGTATTTTGGGGTGCTGAAGATGAGGGGATGGCTCTTGCTTTTACTAATTAGATCGTGTTCTATACTTTATAAATATTTTGTGTTCTTAGCTTAGAACTAAATCTTAAAAAATATCTCCAGTTTCTTTAAAAAATAAACCTCTGCTGGGAAGCAAATTGACTATATGGGTGCCCAAAAATTTGATCAGTCCTAACTGGCGGGGTCTAGGTGTGGGCGCAAATGGGTTAAGGGTATGGAAACCTTTCCCCCTCCGCCTTCCCTGTCTGCGGGCATCAATGTCAGTGATTTATCACAAGGCACAACGCACATAAATAAACACCAGCAGACATCGGAGACGGAGTAGGATTTGCTGATACTTTTCTCTCCGGGCTCCCCTCCTCTCCTCTTCTCTCCCCTCACCTCTTCGGGGGTATTTTTTGACAGTGCGTTGCTTTACGCATCACTAGACTTATCTCGGGTCCCCAGTCGGGGCCCCACTCCCCCGGTTTCCTTTTCATTTGACGCTTTGTGCACTTGACTTCGGAGTCTCCTCCGCTGGCTTCCATTTGCTGCCTCTAACGACCCTCATTGTTTGATTTTCGCAGGCGCTCCGCTCGCCCGCCATATCTTCGGTATCGGGCGAAGACCACCTCCCCCCTCCTCCGCATCCTTCATCCAACCGTCTTCTGGCGTAATGGCGGAGCCGAAGCGACATTATTTTCACTTTATTGAAAACTTGTAGCCGGAATTGATTTTCTGCGTCTCCTGGCGGCGGCGGCACATTCCAAACGCCCCGGGAATTGACATTCCCGCCCTTAGGAAACCCACACACCCGCAGCTTTGTCTTCTGGCAAATTTATTTCGCATTTAGTTGAATACTTTTCTGCTTTCGGCTTGGAAATTCCGCATACATTTATTTTAAAGACTGTAATTTCGTTTTATTCTCATGCTAATGTGCCTCCGACTTGCATTTTTGCAGGGGTTTGGTCGGCGGGTTATTAAGTATTTATTTGCGCACATTCCGGTGCTAATGTGCTTTTTTTCATGGGCGCGATGAAAGTGCAATTTTCCACTGGCATGCGAAAGCCAATTTTAGCCGGAATGTTCAGCTAATTGTTTCTGCAACTCACTCATTTCAGTTTCATATCAGTGCACGGTCAAAAAACTATTCGCAGTTTTTGCTGAAAAACAGCAAATTCGCACATCACAAAACTCACTTTCAATGAATTAATATAGATGTGTTGTCACTGCCGATTTAATCCATTAATTTCTTTTACACCCTTCGACATAAATGGGGACTTATCAGTTATTTTTGGGTGATTATCAGCTTTATTTTTGATAATAGGGGAGTGCGACAAGGTAGCCCACGGGTGTTATCATTTCGCCGTTCTTAGTCGCTTCAGTTATCTCTTTAGAATATTTTATTTAAATTCTGGCTAGCCAAACCCGGACTATCCGCACTGGACCCTGCGAGCTGAACAATAAAAGCAATCAGTGCTTAAAAATCAAATTCAATTTGCGCATATTCAGCATTTTTCCATTGTGCTTTTCTTTTTGTTTCTGTTTCGTTTTCGTTTTTGTTTATTGTTTTTGCTTTTGTTTTCGTTTTTATTTGCCATCCTTGTTGTTCTCATGCCGCAGCAAGTGCATATTTTTTTCAAAAATTTAAACAAAAAAGGGAACGAAAAACATGAACGCCATGCGAGACAGCAGAACAGTTTGCCAAGGCCGCTCGGCGCCGAAGAGGAGAAAATGAAGTACTGGCAAATCATAAATATTCCCTGAATCAACAGAATATGATGAAAATCCATAAATCATTGTGGGGGCGGCATTGGGGCTGAGTCGGAGCTGCTGAGGGGTTAGCGAGTGGGCTTCAAGCAAGGATTTCAAATGCAAATCAACTGTGTCAAAAACTTTCGCTGCCAAGTGCTCAACGGTAGAGGCAACTTTCTTCTGCTCGCCGCCTTTTCTCCGAGAACTGAGACTGCCACGCCCACTTGGGGCAAGGCAAACAAATAATGAAGATGAATGCAAACAGTAAAACACCAGGCAAATAACAGAAGAGTTCTGCAGAGAGGGAGAGCGTAGTGTGATGATGATGCCGGGGAACTGTACAAAATTTAAGCAAGCAATGGACGTAGCGGAACGGTGGGGGCGAAGGGGGGCGATGGGGGGTGAAAGGGGGTAAGGGGGTGCCGGCAATGGGGTTCCACTTGAGTGCGAAAAAAGCGGCTTTTGTTTCGTTTTAATGCGATAATTTCATGCGCAAGAATTTAATGGAAAATTATTTCAGCTATTTTCATAAAATCCTTCGCTTCGGCATTTCTGCTTCCTGCCAAGCCGGCAAAAGTTCGAAAAGGGAGAAGGAAACTTATGCCGAGCACTGTGCCTGGTTTTGAGGATGCAGCAGAACAATGCACAGCAGTTTGCATAGTTCCCTTTTGGCTATTTGTTCTTCACATGAAATCGGAACTTGCATATTTACTAACCTTTTTTTTTAGGGGTACTTTAAAACTCCGCTTCTTCTTGAGCAACTATACAATTTCAGCCACTAAAAAGTGCTTACTTGAGAAAACAATTTTTTGGTCCAATCTTAAGCTTAAAGAAAAGATGAAACTTTGTTGCAGTTTCAATGGGATTCGCCGCACAGCAAGGACACTGTGCCAGGGAGGACAACGAAAATTGCGGTACCTAAAATTCTGAAATAACTGCAGAAGAAGCAGGAAACAGAGAAAATGGCCACGAATGAGGCGCGAATTTGCTGCAGGTAAAGCCCTAAAATGAAATTTAATTGTCTGCTGTGATTTTGGCCAGCACCTGAACCGTAAAATTAAACGTTGGCCGACTGGAATCAGGGTCCGAATCCTGCCCAGCTGGGCGGAACCCAAATGTTGGCCAGGAGAACTTGTTGCTTCTGTCGATTGAAAGGTAAAACTGGCATGCCTTTTGCACGTGGTTTTCGGGAGCTGACTTAAAGTGTTCGGGCTGAATCATAATTGTGAGCACGTACGGGCAGGAATATAAAACGAAATAAGGCGAATTCCCCTCCCACCCCTCTTCTCCTATTTTGGGGAGGTGTCAACGCCCAAGGCTCGGGATGAGCGGACACAGAGGCTTTTCGCTCATAAAACTTGAAATTGAAAAACTTTTACTTTAAACTAGAATCCTACGCATTGTTGTGTCTACGGCTGTGTGCGAACAATTGAGACAAGGGGCGGGAAGGAGAAAGGGCAGTGCTGAGTCGAAAGTCGAAACACTTTCGCCTGATTACAAACGCGCAAATGATGCGTGTCTAATGCGAGCGAAGGCCAACGGAAGCCCCGAACAAAGGCGCACGACTTACCGCATTGGCAGGGGATTCAGACAAAAAGAATTTTTACATACGACGTACACTGAGAAAAACAAACGTATGTCTGAAATACGCAACATTTGTGTATGAAGGCTAAAAGGTGTTTTCGAGAGCGCGGTGCTCAATGCTTAGTTTTTGCAAGTAAATACTTAAAACCCTCTTTGTACATACGAATCGTTCCATTTCCCAAGTATTTCTCTGTGGTGTGCCACAAAATTGTCAAATTGTCTGTTTTGCGTTCTTTCGCAGTAACGTATGAGCGATGCCTAAAAGCAGGCAACATATTTTGGCAGGGGGAGGGCCTAAATACGCCGGAGACGGAATGGCAATTGGGAGCAGGACGGGAATGGAGCAGTGACAGACAGCCTCAAGCTGCTACCAAGAAAGCGGAGCCGGCAGAACCCCACTTTTTAATAAAATGAAGACTGGGTCTGGCAAGCGTTTAACATATGCCCCAGCTAGA